TGCCTTGGGCTATCTGAACCCAAAGGATGTGAGAGTCTCCCAGTGTGGACACAGGTTGGCCCAGAAAGACTCTGCCTTGGGCTATCTAAAGACATGAGAGTGTCTCAAGAACCCATGGAAAGGGGGAGAAAACTCCACTGGGGCCTGGCCCAGCGGCAATCTCTGGGGGCTGCTCACCTGTGATAAATTGGGTTGGTGTTGTTTACGAGCAACCAGCGACAAGTTTACAGCTCCCGAGTGTAGAAGTGAGGAATTAATGCAGGATGCAGTCCGGTTCTGGCCCTGAATGGCAGGCATCTCAAACTGGGAGGGCCCAGGAGTCTCTCGTCTGCCGTTCCTGGTCAGGGAACCATATGATAGAACTGTGGGGGACCGGCGGCGGCTGAAAAGATAAGAAGTATGAAATATAAATGACCTTTATTTTGAGAATGTGGGGAGAGACACCCCCGACACCTTGGGGCACAGCATCTCCCCCTGGGGTTGTCGATCTCTCCATGGAACACGTGGAGTGGAGGCATATAAGTAGCCTAGGTTTGGGGTGGAACCTAAGGGGCATTAGTGATGCACAGGTAACCCATTAGTATTCTTTTGGCACCATAGGTAAATTCCTAGGGGTGGGGGAGATGGATCTCCTTGGTTTTGCCTGAGGCTTTACCAGCTATAGTGTCTTGTCTGGGCCAAACCTCTTTTAATCATTATTATGGGATGAATTGTGTTCACCCAAAACTTTGGTGTTTAAATTGAGATTTAAACCCTGGTAGTTTAAAATGTGACTGTATTTACAGGTTAGGTCTTTATTGAGGTAAGCAAGTTAAAATGAAGTTATTTGGATGAACCCGAATTCATTTATGACTGGTGTCCTTATAAGGCGAGAAAGTTAGAACATGCAAATATTTGTGTACAGGAAAAAACTACATAAGGTTGTAGGGAGAAAATGGCCATCCAGAAGCGTAGGAGAGAGGCCTCAGGAGATGCGAAATTGCTGACATCTCCACCTTACCTTCCAGCTTTCAGGGCTGTGAGGAAATGAATCTAATTTACACCATTCATCTGATACAGAAGTCATGCATTTAGACACTTACGTGCCATTTAACCTTAATTATCATCTTGACTGGATTAGGACCTCTGGAGAGGTGACTGGATCATGTCATAGGGTGGTGTCCTCCCAGTGCATCAAGAAGGTCATAGCCACATGTGCTGCTGGTGGGCCATGGGGGAAATGCTTCTGAAGGGTGGGTCTCTCACTGGCTCCTTCCTCTTCCTTCTGTTTCCCAGCTGCCACAAAGAGAGCAGCCTTGATCTTTCATGTCCTTCTTTTTTTTTTTTTTTTGTTCTTTTTGGTACCATGAATTCATGATTGAACTCATGATCTTGTACTTGCCAGGCAGGTGCTTATGTCACTGAACTAAACCCCCGGCCCTCTTTCATGTCCTTCTGCCATGATGTTCCTGTCTTGGAACCAGCTATAGACTAAGCTGCTAAAATCATGAGCTAAATTAAACCTTTAAATTGTGGGTGTTGGGTACTTTATCCTAGCAAAGGGAAAGCTGAATGATACATAACTTGTGGCCAAGATTGGGTGTGGTGGCGCATTCCTGTAACCCCAGCATTTGGGAGGCTGAGGCCAGAGGATTGCTGGGAGTTTAAGGCCAGCCTGGACTACATAGCAAGAGCCTGTCCGCAAAACAAACAAAACCAAAAAAACCAAAAACCACACTTGCAGTCTCTTTCCAAATATGAATGTTCAGGACCCAATAACATGATAGAGGGGTGTTTGTTGTTTTGTTTTGCTTACAGATGATGGAGTTCAGGATCTCCTGTTGGCTAGTTGCAAGGAATTTAACATAATTACTACACACAGATGGCAAAGAAGTAACTTCCAGTGCTGCCACCAGATAGGCCTCACCTGTTTCTGGTTTTTAAAAAGGAAAACTTTCAGAGTTTAACTGCACAAAAAAAAGATTTGCAAATTGGGAAGTCCTCAGAACCAGAGCAGATACAGGAAGACTCCAACTTGCTATGTGCAGAGAAAGGGAAGTGATGTAAAGAAAGTGGAAGAGAGGTGCAGAGAAAGCCACTTAGTTCCAGCTTTACATGTGCCTTATTTGAATTTTTTGTCTTTTTGAGACAGGGTTTTATTATGCAGTTCAGGGTGAGCTTGAACTCATCTTGTAGCCAGGCTGGCCTCAAACTCTCAGCAATCCTCCTGCCTCAGGCTCCTAAGTGCTGGGATTATAGGCTTGTGCCATCATGCCCAGCTCATTTGCCTTATTTGGCACGCTTGACAAGCTCAGCTTCTGTGATCAGCAGGGACTCAGTCTTTGTTATGAGGTCAAATTCCTAAGATATGTTTCTGGTTTGCTTGTGTACAAAGTTAAGTTATAGTCCTTCACGTAAGGACTCAAGTATGTGAGGACAAAGGCCATAAGAACACTGCAAAGCCCCAGGAGCTACACAGTGGGATCTCAAAGGTCAGTGTGAAAGCCCTACATAGTTTGTCAGACCAGACCTTGGAGGGGGCATTTGCAAATAGAAGTTTGGTATACTTCTATGTCCCATTGCAAGGAGGCTACGTCACCAGGCCCATAATGAAAAGGTGTTGGATTTGCAGTCAGCCTGGCATAATCTATGACATGGAAAACTTCCTGTCCACCCCAGAGCCACTTGGCTGGGATTTGGCAAGTTGGAGGTGATGCTGGTGCCAGAGAGAGATGGCTGCAGCCTCTGTAAACACAACTGACAGATCACATTGGCTGTCACAAGTTTGTTTTGAAAATAAATCACTATAAAAAAAGAAAATGGGGGCTGGAGATTTAGCTCAGCGGCATAAGTGCCTGCCTTGCAAGCAGGCAGTCGTGAGTTCGATCCCCGGTACCGATAAAAAGGAAAAAGATAAAAAAAATAAATCACTATCTTCACAAAGTTGTTGGAAAGTTATTCACATTTGGATTGGATAATTGTATGGACATAGTTAAGAGAAATAGAAAATGCAAAAAAAAAAAACCTTACGAAGCAAAGATATTTAACTACTTAAGTGAATGGTTTGTTGAGTCCACTGCTGAGCAAATGAAGCAGCAAATGAAATAAGGACAAATGAAATAAGGACAAATAAGGGCAGGGGAGTACCAGGTATTGAACTCATGACCTTGCTCCTGCCAGGCAGGCATTTATGCTATTGAGCTAAATCCTGGGCGCAAGGACAAACCGTTTGAGAGCTGAAGAGACAGAGAAAATATATATAATTCCTTCTGCCCTTTACACATATGCTTTTCCTTCTAAAGTAAACATTTCCTTCTTTAGAAACTAGGCTGATTAACTTATTGTGTGTGAAGATATGGACAACTATTTTGAAGAAAACAAGAGACATTATGGTAGCCACAGTTGATTTCTTGCTCTCTTTTTCTGAAATCCTGTTATTTGCATTGTTTTACTATGCTCTGTTTTGTTGTTTTTTTTTTTTTGTTTTTATTCTCCTTAAAACAAAAAAAAATTAAAAAAGAAACTAAGCTGAATTTTTGGCTTCTTTAAACCACTAATACGTACCCTAAGTGATTCTATGCCTGTTCCATACTGTATTTATTCATTTTTCTTAAGTTTTTATCGGTACCAGGGATCGAACTCACAACTGCCTGCTTGCAAGGCAGGCGCTTATGCCACTGAGCTAAATCCCCAGCCCCCCATTGATTTTTCATTACTGTAATAAAGTACCTGAGGCAGGCTACTTTATAAAGGGAAGAAGTTCATTTTGGTTTATGGCTCTGAAAGTACAAATTTTAAGGGCTTAATCTGATGATGGCTTTTTTGCTGGCAGAGTCACTGGGTGGTGTGCGACAATACAACATTGCAAGTGCCAAGGAGTGTGTGTTCTCTGTCACCTGTTTTATTTTGAGACATGGCCTTGCTATGTAGTGCAGCCTAGCCTTGAACTCACTTATGCAGCCCAAGATGGCCTCGAACTCATGGTCCTCCCATCTCAGCCACCTGAGTGCTGGGATTACAGGCATGGGCCAGCATGCCCAGCCTTCTCTGTTTCTATCCTTCCCTCTGTTCCTGTATCTGACTTGCAGCTGGGGTTGAACCCAGGGTTTCACAGGTGCTTTCTTCTCTTTGAAGCCTGTTGGATTTGATCATGGACCTGCCAGCTGGATGCACCCTTGTAGCTTTAGATGTGACACACAAAACAGATTACCCAATTTAGTTCAGTCATCCACAGAACTATGAGAAATCATTTATGCTGAAGACAATGCATTTCAGTTACTTTTGTGAGGGAAAACACCCTAAGTGATTCTATGCCTGTTCCATACTGTATTTATTCATTATCTGACTTTTATATGGTGCTATGGTTTGCATGTGCCGCCTGAAACTCATGTGGACACGTCATTGCCATTGTGTCGTCACTGAGAACACGGCCTTTGGGTAGCTGACAGGGCCTTGTGAAGGGGTGTGCTGTCACTGGGGGAGTGTTATAGAAATTAGTGGTGTTGGTCTTTCTCTCCCCCTTGCATGGTCACGTGCCCTTCCCGCGTGTGGCGATACTGCAGGAAGCGCCTCGCCAGCTGCCAGTGCTGTGCTCTTGGGTTTTCCAGCCTCCAGAGTCCAGGGAACAGCTATTGTTTATAAATTCATAGTTTGTGGTATTATGGTATTGTTGGTTTGAGACAGGGTCTCACAATGTGGCCCAGGCTGGCCTTGAACTCACAGCGATCCTCCTGTCTCAGCCTCCTAAGTGGTGAGATTAGAGGTGTGTGGCACCATGCCTCACCTGCATTTTTAAAAATGCTACTTTACAAGTAATATTTTTACTTTGGGTTTTGGCATGATCTACATGGGAAGAGAATGTGTTAAATTCTTTCCTTTTGTTAATATACTAAATGTTCTTTTGTGAAACTTTGAACTACAACCTGAATTTTAAATTGTATCTCAATATGTGATTTCTTCTGGTATTGTACAAAAACAAAATGAAACAAAACAGGCTTTAAAGTTTATTTAAGCCTTTGTGATATTTGTACTTGTTTTCTTTTAAAAATACATATTTATAGAGAGAAAGATTAAAAGAATTAAGGTATCTTTCTCTTCAAAAGCACACATCTCACAGGAATCAAGTCAATGGCAAGTCCATCAACCGCTAAGTGGAATCCCCTTGCCAGAAGCTACTGTTCTGAGGGCCCTGTGGGCAGGGGAGCTAATCTCTGGCTCAAGTCGCTCAAATTCCCTGTGGTGACAAGGTGTTCAATGTACGCATCCAGGTCATCCCCAGTTTTGAAGTCTGGGTCTTTTCCCAAGAACACCATGATGTTGGTCCTCAGCTTCTGCAGCTTCTCCTGGACCTCTTGGAGCTTCCTCTCAGATGCATGTAGGCTTTCCTCAGAGGCCCTGACCCTGGAGTCGGCTTGGCTCTGGTAGAAATGGCACAGGTTCTGCAAATGCTCTTCATAATGCTTAAAGTATTGTTCCATAGGAAAAGATAATATCTTGTCTAAATTCATAGTTTTCAGCTCCTTTTTGGACATGGGAAACTTTGGAGGCCGGAAATACTGTAAGCAGTCCCGGAGAAGCTGTACCAGGAAATCTATGGTTTCACACTTTTTATTCACAGTAGTGGTGTCAGGCTTGACATGGATGCAGTCAGGGGCAGAGGGCTCTGCCATGGCTGTAGTCTGCTGACCCACCACAGCTGCTTTTTCTTCTCTGTTTTCCAGCTGTGTGGTGGGGGGTTGATACTCTGCAAAAGGTGGCTTCATCAGCCGCACACTGTCACTACATTTCTCCACCCAATGATTTCCTGGAGTTGCATCTGCAGTCTCATGGTCAAACTCCACTTTCCACCACACCACATTCTTTTCCACCTCTGTGGCTGTGACATGGCCTGTATACCACTCTTTGTTCACCTGTACTTCCACAGGAAGCCCTAAATCTTCCTCAGCCCTTTTGAGGTCAGCTGAGTCCTCTTTCCCAGCACTGTGTGAAAGTTCTTTTGATTTCTTTTCCTTCTTCACAGCAAATTTGCCCTTCTTGCACTTCTTCCTTCTTCCAGGCTCTTCCTCATCAGAGTCCTGAAGACTCCGCTTCCGACCAGTGGTATCTCTGGAGAGTTTAACAGGTGACTCTAACATCCTAACCATTGGAGTCTTGATGGCTTTGGGTTTGGGGGGCTTCCAAGAAGTCTTGGAGTTGGGCAGTGGAGATGATAACAGTGGCTGCACCAGAGGAGTGGTCAAGGATGCAGTCTTGACTGGGGTAGCGACACACTTTTGGGATGCCTCAGGTGACTGGAGTGGGCTGAAGGTACTAGGCTTTCCCCGGGCTGTTAGTACAGGAATCTTTGGGATTCTGATGATCGGAACCTTTTGGGGTGGAGTTTTGGGAACTTGCAGAGAAGAAGATCTGCTTGGGGGTTTTCTGATCTCAGGAGATAAAGGTGGTGGCCAACGACGCTGTGATTTACAAGCAGGTTCCTCAGAGGAAGGTCTGGTTGTCACCTCCAAGGGCAATTTCTTCAAGTCTGCTTGGGAGCGGATGGGGGTGATTTTCTGAAGGGCATCCAGCTTTTCCTGCTGCTGGCGAATTTTCTCTGCTAGCTCCTTTTGCTTCTTTTCCTGTGTCTTTGCAACTTTTTTGTATGTGCCCATCGGAAACTTCTGATTTTGTTCAGGAGCTTCACAATGATCTTGCTCAGGATCAATGTTCATGGAACAAACCCAGGTGTTAGGATAATCTTTTTCTACTGAGTTCAACTGGAAGGGGAGGGTCCTCCACTTCAGACACAAATCACACTGGATGGTGGTTGGGATTTGCATTGCTCTCTTGCGTTTGTAATGTAGCTCATTGGACGGGGGCTGGTTCCAGTTGGCAGAAAGATAACCAAACTCATCCCAAAACCTGATGATTCCACGTTGGGCAATGGCAGTGTCCTTCCAGTACTGTGCCAAATGCTCCCCCATTGCCTTCAACAGGTACCGGAACTCCTTGGCATCAGCAAAGTCCTGCTTGTTGTGTGTAGGCTCCAGGACCAGGTAGGGCACATCAACAACCCCAACAACTCCACCACAGGCCATGCCCCCTTCCAGCTGTGGGCCCACTTTCTCATACATCTTGATCAGGCGGCTACAGTTGTAGATGAACATGCCATCTAGCTCCCGATGTTCAATGTTGACCCCAAAAACAAAATTCAGTTCCTTAGGTTCCTTGAGCGCTTGCTCCTTGGCTTCCTTGACCCTCTTCTTGATATTGGCTTCTCTGCGCAGGTTTATGGCAGTGTTCTGAACCTGCCTTAACATCATCTTGGATTCCCGAGTAAGATTGCCACCTATGCGTACTTCTAATGTTCGAGCTTTGCTCTCGGCTTCCCAGGCCTTCTCTTGAGCAATCCATGCTACATGCTCTGCTTTCTCCACCTCCTGCTTTGCGCGGGTCTTGAAACGGTTGGATGTGTACTTGTACATCCTGGGCTTGTATAGACAACAGGCAAGCCTCTTGGTCTGCACCTTGTGCCCGTGGATGAAGATCCTCATCCGGGGATCAATGTAGAGCACAGATGTGTAAGCTCTGAAGGACCAGCGTTCTGGCTTTGTGCCCACGGGGGAGGCCTCTGCCATCTGGATATCTTTTGGATTTGAGACTATGTCTAGCTCAGGCTCTCCATTATCCATGAGTTTGAGATTAAAGATGATCACTAGTGTTCCACTGTCCCCAGAAATCTTCATGAACTGTCTCATTACTTCCTCCTCAGTGTGGAAGGGAGAATACTTGTAAATGAGTTCTGTCTCAATGGAAAACTTCTCCATATTTTCTGTAACAGCTTCCTGGGTCTGAGCATTCCAGGAAGGCAATGGGACTATCACTTCATCAATGCCTTCTTCCTCGTGAAAAGTTCGAGAGAGGAAGAGACAGGTCATGGTATCTTTCTTCTTGGTGAAAAGAATAAAATCCTTCCCAATGCGCATTGAGCCAGATTTTAACCCATTCCCGTACTGCCCAATCTGGGTGGACTCTGGTGCTCGTTTGGTTGATCTCCCAAACTGAGTAACACCGGCAGCCTCATTGGGATTCATTCCTACTCCATCATCCAAAAAACAGAGCATAAATCCCCCTTGAAGGTTCTCTCGTCTTTCTGCATAAATATCTATTCTGGTGGCATGTGCATCTCTTGCATTATCAACCAGTTCAGCAAGAGCTCCAAATAAGAATTCATGTGTGGTTGAATTTGTGTGCAGATATTCAAAGGTTAACTGAGCTCGATTCAGACTGCTGTAATATGAGGAAGCCATGACTGCTGCAAAATTGCCAGGTTTTTCCAGTAAAGGTGAAGTCTGCTTCTTAAAGTCTGCTGAAGCAAGTTACCTAGTGTCTATCTGTAATATATTCAGAGATGTTCCAAACTACAAGTCATTTCTTATGTATTTTAAAATTATCTATGACAGAATATTTGGAAAGAATTTCATATTAAACCTGCAGTCCCAAGGCCCTTTTGGCATTTCTACACTTCAGTTCAGGCAATCTGAGTTCAAGGTGGATAATCCCGGAGTGGACAGTCACTGTGCTTATTGATGGTTATTTCTTCTCCATCTTAACGTTCGTCCAGTTCTTCCAGCCCTTTCCTTGTTGCCTTACCTTTTCTGAAAACAAAATATGACAATCCGGAAGCGCACCCGCGTCTGTCATACAATTTAACAGTCCTCCACGCTCGTCTCGGCCACCAGAGTCTATGTGACCTGACTGGGGTGCAGCTGAGCCGAGCTCTGAGGGGGGTTTATGACGCCACTTCCGGTCCCTGCTGCCCCGTATAAGGCTCAGTGACGCGGTTCCTTTCCTCAGGGCTGGAATAAAGCCGCCCGGTGCGGCCCCAGCCTCTGCAGGTCGGTGGGTCCAGTCACCTCCACGCCAGGATCCCTCCCAGCAGCCCCTCGTCCCCTCAGCCACCGCGCTGCCCCGCCTCGGCCGCCTCGGCCCAGACCTCGCTGCAGCTGCCCTGGGTCTGGCGAGGCGGCTCGAAGGCCCGTTTGCCAGGCGCGTGAACGAGTCAGGTGGGCGTTGTGGGGCTCTCGCTGTGCTGTGTGTCCTTGGGCCCAACCGCCGGGGGCTGCTGCCGCGCGGCCTCCGCACACCAAGGGCGCTGGTGGGAAGGGCTGACTGACGGGAATGGCTGACAGAAGGGCTGATGGGAAGGGCTGACGGAAGGGCTGACGGAAGGGCTGACGGGAAGGGCTGATGGGAAGGGCTGACGGAAGGGCTGACGGGAAGGGCCGCTGTACGCGGGTTCAAGGAGGCAGCTTTGCATAAGGGGAAGACTGCGGAAGGGTTTTTTCTTTTTCTCTCGTTTTTTGTTTAGTTTTGCTTTTATCCTTTCCTCTCTTTGGTTTGCTCTACAGAGCCAGTTTTCCCCATCCCCTATTTTTCAAATAAACTGTGGTACCGGTTTTGATTTGTCTGTTTCACTTCTTTGAGATAAGAAGAATCTGGGCCTGGGATATGTGTAATTGGCAAGCCATTTCTACAAGAACTACCCAGTAACAGTGGCAGTGTCAGAGCTTCAAGTGATTTCTTATCAGCCAACTGCTTTGCTCTTGGTATTGCTATTTCTAACTAAACAACACTTTGAATTTATTTGTCCTTATGTAACATAATAATCCCCAAGAAGGTTTACAGTGACAAAAATTTTAAAAATATTGAAAGGTTTCTTTCCTAGTATAAATTGCTAGGTAATATTATGGCGATAGTCTAACGTGGAAGAACAAAGCAGAAACCTCACTTATCCTGATAACTGCTTCCTCCTTCCTCTTTCCTCCTCAGCCCTGAGTACAACTTCCTCCTTTTCTTTGAGTGAAGAAAATTCCAATCAGTTCCTCATAGGTCATCAATGCCTGCCCCAAACTCCACTTCTGGCCAGAGATCATAAAACTTCCTTCCATGCTTGTCCTTGGTCAGGGCACAAAGCCCAACCCCAGAAGTTGTACACTGCTCTCACATCCTCAATAAAGGCCTCTTTTTTTTTTGGCCTCTCTGTTGTGCCAAAAGACCCTAACAAATAGGTCTATTTAGAGATATATAGTCTATCTCCAGAGTCCTTGATTAAATGTACAACAAAGAAAGAATTGAAGATGATTAGAGTCCACAAATAATGTAGACAGTGCTGGAAAATACAGATGCCACACCTGCTGTTCTTACACACAGGACTGTGATGATATGCAGGAACATATGGCTTCCACAGGGAAAAGAAGCTGAGAGTGGAAAGTGGCCTGGAAACTCAAGCCTCATTGCTGAAGGCTTACAGGTGTGGGAAAAGACTGATGTAAAACTATAAGAGCCTTTCATGAACTTTCTGTGGTCCCAAATCAACACTACTAGTACTGCACGAGTCCCAGCCCCCTACTCTGGGTGGACTTTAGGACTCTCATCCCTCAGATCTAAGCCTAATGACAGACAAGACAAAGGATAGGTTGTGTTTCCTGCTTGTGATGAAACCTACACCGTGCCTAGGAAACCATTTCTTTCCCATCACAGTCGGGAAAATTTATATTTGTGATCCCATGGAGAAGTTACTGGAATTCTAGGGAGTTAATTCCAATCTACTACCACTTCCAGTGCACCCCAAGCTGAGAGTAAAGACACTAAGACATATATATATATATATATATATATATATATATATAGAGAGAGAGAGAGAGAGAGAGAGAGAGAGAGAGAGAGCGAGCGCCCAGGGAGGTCCTAAGTCCAGCCAAGACCATGGTTCAACAGAACAAAGGCCATGATCCAGAGCTCAGGCTGGGTTTTATTACTTCTCCATGAGGGGAGTGGCTTGGGGATTAATGACTGTGAGAGTGGCAGGAAATATGTGACCCCCATGAACTGGATTAGGTAGAAAGCATGAGATTACCTCTGCAATATTCAGAGGGCAAGAAATGCAGAGAGAGTGCTCTGCATAACACAGCTGAGGTAGTGTCTAATACTTTGGGGTCAGTGCTTCACAATCTTTTTACCCTGAGAAGTCATAGCCTCTTTCTCGAAGTTCAGTGTGGGGCATGGTTTGGCTTAACTGTGTTTTTCTGGGAGTCACTGAGCAGGGAAAACCGTGACTGTGCAGTGTGGCCTTGCTTCAGAGATTACACATCAGCAGCTCATCCAGCCCAGTTTACCTTGCTTAAAGCCAATTGAAGGGACAAAGAAATGGCCCAGCCAGCTCTGTACATATCAATACATGGAGATACAGTCAAGTTTATCCAAAATGGATATAATTGCTCTTCTTTCTAGGAGACTCCTCCCCATGATTCCCCATATCTTCTTTCTTACTGTCCCAGGAGGGCAAGGGAGAATAGCACACCTCAGGGAAACTCTTTGTGGGCACAAGGAAATTGTGGCCTTTCCCTTCAAATAGCTCCATGAAAGTTATCTGGCATTTGAACCCAGCAAACATCTTCCTTCAGTGGCTGGCATCCTTGGACAATGAAATGGCATTTGATACCCATTTTAAGTAAGTTAATTTAGTTTCCATCCCAACTAAAAATAATGTACTAGGACCAGTAAATGATGATTTTGTATAAACAGCTGATGAAGAACAGTGAAATTAGGAAGTAGTTCAAATAGTAGGGACTGGGCAATTGGGTTTTAATAGACCAGGAATTCATCTGCTTGTGGAACCATATTTCTGTACAAGACTTCTCTAAACAGTGTAGTCATTAAAGCCTCCCCAAGTAGGGAAAGTATAAGAAGGCAGAGCCTAAGACTGTGATTCTACAAAAAAATGTAAGATTGAAGATAAAGTTCAATTTTTGCTAGTGCATGTTGCAATACATAATGATTATATCCCTTGCTACATGTACATACACATTGTTTCGTTTTCCATCTCCTTCCCTCCTCTCTCTCACTTCCCTCCACCTCCTAGTCCTTTCTTCCTTATTATTATTATTATTTTTCCAGTCGAATTTAGCAGTGGGGGGTGGTATACCAACTTTAGTGACACTAATGTTAGTAAGTTCTGATAACCCACTGCCATCGGACCAGCCCTTATTTTATTATTATTACTTTTATTTGATTTTCTGAGAGGGGTCTCACTATGTAGCCCAGGCTGGCCTTGAACAAGTGATCTTTCTGCCTGAGCTTCCTGAGTGCTGGAATTATAGGTGTGCGCCACCATGCCCGACTTGTCCCCTTCATTTTTGCACAAGATCTGTCTCCCTGTTTCCTATGATCTATTTTTTATTTTTCTCTTTATTTATTCCTCGGGTTTCTCATATAAGAGAAACGTGATATTTAAACTTGTGTGTTTGATGTTATTTCGCTAAAACGATGGTCTCAAGGTGCATCTGTTTTCCTACAAATGACTCAGGTTTGTCCTTTATTGCTAAGTATTGTGTGTGGGTACTTTATTTTCTACCTGCTCCTCTGTTGATGGGACATATGGGCTGCTTTCAAGATCTAGTTACAAACTGTGCTGCTGTAAACATGCGTATGATGTCTTCAGCTCTTTTGGGAAGATCCTTAGAAAGGGAATGTCTGGGTAGAATGGAATTTCCAGTTTTATTTTTCTGAGAAATGTTCCTATTGATTTTTTAAAAAAATTCTTTATCGGTACCAGGGATCGAACTCACGACTGCCTGCTTGCAAGGCAGGTGCTTATGCTGCTGAGCTAAATCCCCAGTCCCCTTCCTATTGATTTTTATAGGAATTGTACCAGTTTACACTCCCACCAACAGTGTAGAGAAGGGTTCCTTTTCCCCTACAACCTCACCAGCATCTGTCAGTGTTTGATTTCCCAAGTGGAAAAGCCTCAGAGAGAATTCAGGGATCCTTGAGAGCATCCTGTGTCTCTTGTGGGTTTCTGGGATTTCACAAGGAGAATGTCAGGGAAGAAAATTGATTTTACCTGATCAAGAACAAGTTATCATTTTTCTTGGATTTATTTATTTTTTGGTTTTGCCTTTTTTTTTTTTAAGACAGAGTCTTGCCATGTACTTCAGATTGGCCTTGAACACACTGTAGAGTCCAGGCTGGTCTCGAATTCAGTTTCCTGCCTTAGTCACCCGAGTGCTGGGATTATAGGCCAGTACCAGCACACCCACCCGGCTGTTGGATTTATGTTGAGGCTTTTCCCAAAGTAAGAAAAACTTTTCTAATGGGTTTTATGGACAGGAATAGTGGAAACAAATGCAGCAAGGAATTGTGCCAAGAATTAAGGCATATGGTACCACTATGTTTGCAACTTTGTTCAGTTAACTCAGGTTCAACAAGGAGGTGTTTTCCCTTCCGTCCTCCGGTAGACAGGATCAAGAGGAGATAAAATAATGACTGAAGGGTTGAGGGTTTAGCTTGGTGGTGTAAGCACCTGCCTGACAAGCATAAAGTCATGAGTTCAATTCCCGGTGCCACACACACAAAAAATGATTGAAGCATTAAAATAAAAGACTGCAGCATTATAAATAGTGACGGTGAGTGATGAGGCATTATGGTTGAGGGGCTTTATTTTTAATAGAGGCCAGAGTACAGTGAGGTTACTAATTAGCAGATTGTTTTCTATTTAATTGTTGTCACATAGTTGTTCTGAGTGCAGAAGTGAACTTCAGCACAGTCTATCACAGGGTGGGGAGAGCAGTTGATTAATTGGAGGCAACTGTCACGATTTGAACTTATGAATTTGCAGAATAATAAGTAACAAAATAAAAGATAAAGAATAAAAGGAGGGAGGCAGATCTCTCTTAGATGAGAAGCAGACCAAGAGATGAAGGAAGGGAAGGAAAGGAAAGGGAGGGGAACGAAAAAAAGACTTAAGATGTGTTGGGTACATGTGCCTTCTCCACACAAGGGATGCAGAAATTATGCACTGCAAACGTGGGTAATAATTTCTGTCTCTCACACACATACACACACACATACTGACTCCAAGATTAATTCTAGGATAAATTTGGTCTCCTTAAATATTGATCTCCTTATCTTTATTCTGCTTTAATAAATGGACAGGATGCCTCTGAACATTTTAAAATGCCAGTTCCCAGCTATTCTGTGGATCCAAATATTAAGATTTACTTATTTATTTTTTGTTATTGTTGTTAAAATTTTTTTTTATATTCTGGGGCTGTGAAGCCCTGGATTCCATAGCTAGCACGCGTGTGCACACATACACCTATCAATGAATCCAGAAATACGTTAATCTAACTTTTTATCCCCAAAGGTTTCATTTTCCTTGGACTGTGACTACTGTAAAGACAGAAGACAGAAAAAAAATATATGACAACTTTTCTAATCACAGTGTTTGATTTTACTACTAAAGATAGATTTATTTGTTTATTTATTTATTGTCTTTTCGAGAAAGGGTCTCTCTACAGTTCAGGCTGGCCTTGAGCTCACTTTGTAGCCTAGGCTGGTCTCGAGCTCACAACAATCCTCCTGCCTCAGCCTCCTGAGTACTGGGATTACAGG